TTTATTTTGAGCTTTCATGAATGTCTCTCTCATCAGGTAAGGGAAAATTAACTGGCATGTTAGCTATTACTAAGTACAAAAAAGGCAGGCTCCCATGTGCTTTACTTCAAAAGTTGAGAAAACTACCATATTCTTCTCCTTTGAAATTTCTCTGCATTTTGAGTATTGCCAATAAATCTCTCTTTATGAAAACAAAAGGGGCAAAATTATTTTTATCCTCCAAAAGATCATCAAAGGCCCCTTACTGTGTCATGTGTATATCCTTTTCCTACCTGGGAAAAACAATAGGAAAAAAGGTCAAGTTCTCCATCAAGCCTCCCACCTCCAAGCTCTTGCTTCAAAGTATGATATTTCTTTCCCAGTTGGTTTTTATGCCACACACCACATGCAACTAATATTTTGCTAAGTATGGTATCCAAAAGATGCCTAAAGCTAATTCTGACTACATAATTGTTACTGGATTCACCTCCTTGGTAAGAAAATGATCACAAATTTTCTCCACTCCTGAGTTTTCTGTCCCTGAAACCCCAGGAAGTCCAGGTGCCAGCACTGTCCATTCAGCTCCCCATCTGGGCAAAACCATAGTAAATAGAAGAAAATCATATATAAATCATATAGAGAATGGACAGAATGAAGCAGAAGTAATGAAGGTTAAAGTAATAAAGAAGTTGCTTTACCAAACGAGGAGCTGAGGAAGAGGAGAAAGGAAAGCGAGGCAGTGAAAAAGCCAAGTAGGAAAAAGGAGCTGGGGTGGGGATGGGGTCTTTCCTGGTTGAAAGACTCTGATATTCTTAAGCAATCACTGTGTTGTGATTTGTGTCTTTCAAGCACTTTGAGAGACACCAGTAAAAAAGCAAACTTACATACACACACATTAGCCCCTGACCCATGACTCAGAGGTTCACAGAGTAGAGATAATTAACATTTATTGAGAACCTACTAAGAACCAGGTACAGTTACTCAAAGCTCACAACAGCCCTATGAAACCAGTGTGCTTACCCTCTCTATAGAAGATAGCTATGACTCAGAGAGACTAAGTGAACTGCCCAAGGTTATAAAGCTAGCAAGTAGTGGAGCAGAAGCAAACCCCGAACTCCCCTGGGTCTGCTGCTGGGAGCCGGGAACCAGAGACTGATGATGAACGGGAGACACGGGCCCAGCGCTGTTGCCAGAGGAAGCAGCTTAGGAACTGGCCGGCGGCGTCCCTCTGTGCTCTGGGATCTCTGGATCTGTGCTCCATTGTGAGGCTGGCTCCTCCTGACACTTTCTTAGCATGGAAGCTGTGGGCTTTCTTTGCTCCTCTGTGGTTGTAAACAGAAGCCCCTGAGCCCTTTCTTTCGTCCCTCCTCCAACGTGCACTGCTGATAGAAACCGCCAGACAGCAAAACCTGCTCTTTAATGAGTTTTTCCTGAAAACTTCTTACTCTTCTTTTCTCCTCCTTAACTCTTTTCCTTTATTCCCATTCCTCCTTCTAGTCGTTTATCTACTACCTGATTTCCAGACCTTTCCTCCCTCTGATCATAACCTACAGGAAATTTAAGTACGTGTTTTCTTTAGCAAAACTTAGCAATGTCTTGAATTACCGTTATTACCCAGGACAAGAGATGGATTCTTATGTCCCTTTCTCCCTCTGGCCCGCTGACCTGCTGCAAACTTATTTCTGAGAGCTGTGAACAGCCCAGATTAAAAGTCTAATTGCAAGTTATCCTGATCTCATATTTCTTTTGACACTAGGGACATGACTAAAGAGAAATAAAGAATAATTGTTGGCTAAGGGAAACCAACAGAGAAGTCTGTTTACTGTATGACCTCACACAGGAAGTGCCACAAACTCCTTTCTTCCTTACTAAGTTTCTTCTTTTGCATCGTGAACCAGCAGAGGTCTTGCTGGAAGGGACCCTAGGAAGGTTCAGTTTAAGTAACCTGAGACCCAGGACCTACAAATGCTTAGTGCAGATGAATTCTGAGGCATCTGTCTGGGTTGGTTCTATGTGCATCGCTAAGAGCATTCAACCATAATAACATCAACATTTACCCTTTTCTCAGAGGCAGGATCCAGTGGTTGACAGTCCCACAAGCTTCCACTCCTTAGTTTCAGCACAAATTTTTGTCCTCAACATTTCCTCTCCTCTCCCCACTTGTGTCTAGCCCACCAGGCCAGCCCATCTGGCCAGTGTCCAACCACAGGGCTGACAAAATGATCTGGATTACCAATGAAAGCTAGCTAGCATTCCCACCTTCCTTGTGACAAATCCTAAATTAATGGTATTTAAAAGAAGACTTGACATGTATACACGTAAACAGGAAAAATATATTACACACACACACACACACACACACACACACAAACACACATACTACTGTCTAGACCACTAAAGACAATTTCTCTTTTTGCAACCACAAAGTGGCCTAGCCTGGTAAGGAAGACAGTGGCACCCAGTGGACAAACGTTTGATTGTTTGAGACAGGTGTCCCATTCAGAAATATCCTCCTCTCTCAGTTTTAAGAAAGGTGCTCTTACCTTTCCCTATCCTTCTGTCATCACATTTTTAAGACATCTACTGAATTTAAAAATAGGGGGGAAGCAAATGTTGTTACAGTTTTAACTCATCAAGAATGAGTAAATTGAAACACTGAAGAAAGCAAAAATTTCAGGAGTAAATCCTCTGAGACTAGTGTCTGCATTTGATTAACCTGTTTCAACAGTAACAGTGGAGACAGCCAAGTCTAATAAAATACTCAACTTAATTAAAAATGTAATGTTAAAAATTCCTGTAATGGGCTTTTTTCCCCACATGTAATGTTCTCCTTTGCCTCACAGCATTGCCAACTTCCAATTAAATTCCCTTGGTTGTATACAAATTTGGCAACTCCAGGGGCAATACTTCAGGAAAAAAACACATACAGATCCTGCATATTAATGCTATTTTGCATTCTATGTGGGAGCCAGATAAACACCTATTTTCACTCTCTAGCCCTTACTGTGATTCTTTTGATTGTGAGCTACTTGGGTAGAAAAGCTTTGCATATCTTTCTTTCCCCAAACAGCTAACTAGTATCTTACTCATGGTAGTTACAAAGAAATGGTGAAATCTAGTTTCCATTTTATGCAATGAATCTGCTAAACCCTGAAAAGAAGTATCTGAGTGTTTGATGTTACATAAAGGGATCATCTAGTTAAGAATCTTAAATATTAGGGACTAGTTGCATTGGATAAAGGTATTTTATAAAGAACAAAAGGGATGAGGACTTTCATGGGTGAGGTGAATTTTACTGATTTACATTATTAAAAGCACTAAAAGACATTCAATTACAAAGTAAACATACATCTTAGTGAAACCTAATACCAGCAAGGGTGCCCTCAGTTCGCCATTACCAGTTTCTTCCAGGTTTGCATGCTCTGAAATCCTTGGTTTTTATACTTTGAATGGTACCTCATGTTTAGCATTTTTAAAAATTCTCTGTAATTCAAATTTTGCCACAATTTGAAGCTTGCTTTTTATGGTTCAGTAGCTAAGTTGTGTCCGACTCTTCTGAATCCTTGGACGGCAGCCTGCCAGGCTCCTCAGTCCAAGGGATTCTCCAGGTAAGAATACTGAAGTGGGTTGCTGTTTCATTCTCCATTGCTTCTTATGGGTGGTTTAAAAAAGAAGACCAGTTGGTAAGCCAGGTTAAGGCATGTGAGTGAGATGGAATCTCCCCAGTGGGACTGGGCCTAGGGGCACCACTGTTTCATTAATTGATGGGTGGGTCCTGTAACCCATTGCATATATCACATTTAGGCAGCCATCAGTAAACACATTCCAAAGTAAGAGAGTACATTTTTTGTATGTAGAAAAAAATGGAGGCCATTTATGCACGTATCCCTATATTACCTGGGTTCCCTGGTAGCTCAGAAGGTAAAGAATCTGCCTGCAATGCAAGAGACCCAGGTTTGGCCCCTGGGTGGAAGATCCCCTGCAGAAGAGAATGACTACACACTCCAATATACTTGCCTAGAAAATCCCATGGACAGAGGAGCCTGGCAGGCTGCAGTTCATGGAATCACAAAAGAGTTGGACATGACTTAGCCACTAACATTTCACTTCACTTTCTACATTACATGTTAATTGTATTTAGCACATTTCTCCCCTAGTCTCTGCAAAAATTCTTGTAAAATTCTATCGTACTCAACTTTTGCTATATAGACCCTTGTTATTAAAAACTCAAAATTGTTTTTTGAAAATTTCTAAAAATTTACTAGCAAAACGGCTCAATCCATGATAAATCAATCAATGTAACATTTCAAGGTCTCTGTCCTTTTTATTCCACTGACCGCCACCAACAGTGAGCACCAGTGCCCTGTAGGAGGACCCAGACTCTTGGCCAAGTGCCCTCTCCCCCGGGGGAAGGGCCACAGTAACAGTAGGATTTGTGCCACATACACTATACGGTTTGCAAAGCGTAACAGTGTTGGGAAATGGTCTGAGCTTTACTGATAGTCACGCTCAGTGGCTCTGAAATAGGAGACCTGGTGTGTGTGCAGATGACCTAGAAAGCAACCTGACTGCTCAGACGAAGCTATGCTTCTCCTGTTATCTGTTTTGCCTCTGTGAGTTTCAAAACCCAAGAGGGATGCCAGTATTTGAAAAAACTCTCTTTCTCCCCATAATTGGAGAAAGTTGTTCCTGTGGGTTTCCTATGGTTTTTTCTGTTTATAATACAAATATGTTTCACTTATATGTTTATCTTATTTCAGAAGTTTACTTGCTTAAAGGTGGCTTTCCTAGCTCATGGGCTTTGGTGAATGAAAACAAAATACAAAAATGTAAGAGAAGTTTTAAAGGCTCAAAAGGTCCATACAGATTACAGTGATCATTATAATAACTGAACTGAATGAAATGCTGTGTGTGTGTGTGTGTGTATCAGTAGGTACAGAGGTTGAAACATGTATTTAGATTTTCCTCACTCTATTGCACACCGAGGAACATATATTTCCAGTCCCAGTGACAGGTATTACCTGTTCGGATAAGACTTTAGCCTTTTCTTCTGCTTCCTTCAGGCAAATCTCCAAGGTCTCAAGTTGTGCCAAAGTAAACGCCATCTGTTCGGTTTCCAGGGAATCTTTCTTTAAAACAATAACCAAGTATTACTTTTTGACATGGGTAGTTTCCTAAGCACATCTCAGACAACTCTGTGGACTAAGGACAGACTTAATAAACTTACATACATCATCTCCTTTTCTTCTTTAACATAGCAATAAAACAGTAAAATGTTACAAAGACAATAGTGTTATTTTAACTGTTTAGAGTCTAAAGACAGAGTTAAAACGTGCATATTAATGAACAATGAACAACTTTACAAAGGTAGAATAAAATATCCATGTTGAAATTTGGTTAATGTGCAACTTTTATTTCTGATATAAATATTTTTCAAGAGTTAGAACCAAATTTTCACATTCCCAGTAAGAGAGGTCACCTAGTGTTGCCTGCATTTTTTTTTTTTAACATTCACCTATCTTAGTCATTTCAACTCAGGGAAACTTTCATTTCCTTTGATTGTCACCTTCTTGTCACAAGTTCCATTAAAGCAAAGAAACCACATGGTTTAGAATCAGATTATACATCCCCAGAACATGGCTCAGTTCAGTTCAGTTCAGTCGCTCAGTCGTGTCCGACTCTTTGCGACCCCATGAATCGCAGCATGCCAGGCCTCCCTGTCCATCACAAACTCCCGGAGTTTACTCAAACTCATGTCCATCGAGTCGGTGATGCCACCCAGCCTTCTCATCCTCTGTCGGCCCCTTCTCCTCCTGCCCCCAATCCCTCCCAGCATCAGGGTCTTTTCCAATGAGTCAACTCTTCGCATGAGGTGGCCAAAGTATTGGAGTTTCAGCTTCAGCATCAGTCCTTCCAGTGAACACCCAGGACTGATCTCCTTTAGGAAGGACTGGGTGGATCTCCAACATGGCTAATATGACTCAAATCACCAGATGTGTAGTCCTTGCCTCTCAAAAGTGTTCTGAAGTTGCTGTTTCTCATGTACAAGCAAAGAATATGCAAAATTGGTATGGAATTATCACTTACTAGCACTACTAATGCTAGGGCACTTCCTGACTACTCTTTGGCCATTGAGACAATTAATTAGGTACACAGCAATGTGGAAATGTCAAAGGAAAACTCCATTGGTGTTAGGATTCTGATGTTCCTATATCCTTGGGTATGTCCTGTTTTCTTGTGAATGTTCAGGCTGCTGCAGCTGCTTCCAATTAACTCCAGAGGAAAGAAAGAACTGTGTTCCTACATATTAAAAAACCCCACAAAACGGCTGCTTTATTTTCCCTTTGGTCTAGGAGCCCACCGATTTTACACATATGTGCATTTCCTGATGATACAATAGAGCCATCTGGTGGTAAATGAAACCAGCCATAAAAATAAGGCATTCATTCAGTTCCTATAATTGTTCATACCATCCTCCGAACCTTAAAGCCTTGCCATGGACCTCTGATAAAACTGAAACTCCATGGGATGAGGGGCAAAAAAAAGTTCTGTCTCAAAAAGAGCATGGCTCCTAAGTCTCACAAGACTGTATACTTTCCCCCAGGTCAGCCTTTGGTGGATAAAAATTCTGGGTTAGAACAGTGATATTCTAATAGATGAACAGTGATATTATCTATTCAGGGATGAACCAATAATTTTCACTCTCCCATACCTGATTCTAATAATTTCAAGAGTCAGTCTAAAACATCTCAAAACATGAGCCGCAAAACAAAATTGTTGTCTATTTATACTTTTAGGTAGTTTATCTAGCCAAACATTTTATGCCTAAAGGGGAAATTGTTGAGAGTCAAAACTATTAAAAAACAAAAAACAACTAAGGGTCCCTGATCTAGATCACTATTTCCAAGAGAATCTTCTTGTCTAGTGTTTGACATCAAGAGGAAGTTTGAAAAATCCTTGTGAGTAGCCCCAGCAAGATCATCTAGTCTAATTCTCTAGGTCTTTTTCTCCAAACATCCCTAATTTTCCTTGCCAGAAAGGACAACCATTTCTAGTAAAACAAAAGCATTACAAGTCAAAGCCAAATGAAACAGGCTTGACTGGAGACTGTTATTAAATAGCATAGGGCTTTGTGTTCAGGTAGATTTAAGACAGCATCGTGTGCTATAGAACAGGGAGCGTTCTGAGCAGACTGTGAGGAATGCAAAGCGTGTCTTCTGGACCTTTATCCCAGTTGTCACTCCCCATTCCCTGCCTTCTTACCCCCTCTCCTTTAAGGGGAAGAGCCATGAATGTATCTACTTTGGAGTAAAAATGGCTTACACAAAGTCAAGCACTTTTTAATAGGAAACAACCTCCATTAACCAAACAAAAGACTACAGATTAAACCGAGAATAATCTCAGAAATAGGGCTTTCCAGGTGGCTCAGTGGTAAAGAATCCACCTACCAAAGCAGGAGACATGGGTTTGATCCTTGGGTCAGGAAGATCCCATGGAAGAGGGCATGGCAACCCACTCCAATATTCTTGCCTGGAGAATCCCGTGGACAGAGGAGCCTGGCGGGCTATAGTCCATGAAATTACAAAGAGTTGGACAGAACTGAACATGCACAAAGGGAATCTAAGAAATAAGTAAATACCTGCTGTTGGAAGTTTTGGAGGTAGGTGTCTATTTTCAGGGAGTGTAAACAGTTAGGTGTAGTTGGTCACTGTCCCTGTTTTGCAGGATGCAATGATATAAGAGCAGAAAGGTGGGACTTACATCATTAAGTTTATTCTCCTCAGGTACATGTGGACACAGTGTATATAAAGCAATTTATGTTTCTATGAACACAAAACTGTATTGTGATTAATATGATTCCCTCATCAACTACTTTAATCAAAAGTAAAAATGTATGATATATATAGTTGATTGGGGATTGAGTCTATGTCTGTGGATTTTCAAATGGTAAACTCCAGCACTTCAATGTGTATTCCAGCCTTTAAATTCCACTCTTTGTCCTAAAAATTTCTACCTAAATATCTATCAGTAATATAAATGCATGTACCTAAGATAATCAGGATGGTCAAAGTAAAAGACTATTACAGAATATTAAAAATTCCATGAACTTTTGGTTACAGTCAAGACACTTGATTATTACGCTCTTTTTTTAAAGTGGACAGCGTACTAGATGACGAACCTTCTGCAACACTCTAAGAGTAGATTTCCTTTTTAGCTACAAAGGTTCCTCATTTGAGAATTTGGAGGAAAACCTACTCTTTGTTCTAATTTAATTTTTCTTGATATCTCTAAGCCAACTCAGCACCTTTTCATTGTTCCCTTCCCTATTTCTGAGTCATTATGTTTCTGTCTTGCAATGACCTTGCTCTTCCTCAGGCATAGAGATCCCTTTCACCCTTCAGGACTGGTTCAAGATCTCTGATTCACTGAAATCTTTCACCTGCCTCTGAATCCACGTGCAGCATTTAGAAAGACACAGACAACACTGCCCTGCGCATTTACTAGGAGCTCAATAAAGAGTTGTTGGTTGACTGAAGGCTCAGCAGTCAGAGAAGGTGACCGCACCAGATGGAGCAGTCCTTCATGCTGAGAGGCTGTAACAGAGCCTCCTTTGAGCAATCCTTTCCAAGTATCCAGCTTAGAACACTGGCTGGGTTGAGAGCCCCAGATCAAGTCTGCGTGCCAAGGTCAGGGGCCAGACGGCGCAGCAGAGGGCGAGGCGGTGTGTGTGGGTTGGGTGATGATGGCAGGGTTGATGTGAGGATTAAATGACATAAATCAGGTAACTGCTTGGACAGATGAAGTACTCAATTAATATTCTTTTTTTACAGATCATATTCTAATTCCTCTAGAGAGCATCACTTGATGTTAAAAACTTGCTAACTAATTTTTAAACCCTAGGAAAAGAAAGTTCCCATTAAGACACTTCTGTAACAGCAAATGATTAAACCATGGCAATGGGAAATTCAATCAAGTAGGCAATTAGAACAAAGTTAATATACTAAATACGTGGGTGCATTTCTTTAAAAGCAAGGTTGCTAAATAAAGATGTGGTTATGGCCTTCTGCCTTTACAGAAGAGCGTTTTGCAGTAAGTCAATTTAAGACAATTAAATGTTTTTACCAATCTGGAGCAACTAACGTCCAGGGCTCCAGCAGCATTCCCTGCCCAGTGGTCCAGTAGCCTCCTGCCAGATAAAACACGCTTTCAACACATTCTGCAACAGTCAAGCTTCCTGCTTGATGTCTTGTCTATTTATTACTGTGGCCCTACTCCTCTTCCCCCCAGCTTGACAAGCAACAAATGCCCTAAACTGTCTTACCCTTCTAGGACCTGCTTATATGTCTCACGTAGATTAAAGTCTTCCCTCAGAGCCCCAACTCAGCCTCTTACCTCCAGGCAGATTTTTTTTCCACTCCTCCCTCAATCTCTAGTCATCAGAATTCACTTTACAGTGGAAAGCTAATCCCTCTCATGCCCTCTGGGCTTAGCTTTTGCAATAGCTTTTTAGGCTAAATTGCCTGTTTCTCTTTAGGCAACCATTTAACCATTCAGTTTTGCTGATTCCAACCTGTTATAGTGAAAACAGTATTTCTCTGTGGCTGAGGTTGTGTCATTAATCACTAAATAAAATATTTAAGTTTGAAACATGAACCAACTACATCTATTGTCCAAGCCTGGTGGAAAGAGTTTCTAGAAAGTGCTCATCTCTATGACCTCAAAGGAGATGGTCATGGGAGGACGACGGATGAGCACTGACTAAGGGGAACTCTGCTTGGAATGTGGAAGGCCACACTGGAGTTGTAGACCTAACCTGACTCACTGACTGTGTGACCTGGGCTATATGACTCTGGAGCTTCGCTTCTTTAGTTGCTAAATCACTTCCAACTCTTTGTGATGCCATGGATCATAGTCCACCAGGCTCCTCTGTCCATGGGATTTCCAGGCACGAATACTGGAGTGGGTTGCCATTTCCTTCTCCAGGGCATCTTCCCAACTCAGGGATTGAAAATGCAACTCCTGCGTCTCCACCAGGGAAGCCCATTCTTGAGGCTTTATTCCTTTCATCTTAAAGTGCATTGGTCAGGTTTCAGAAGGAAACATAGTTAAAGAGATCGAGGGCAGTTTG